GAAAACACGAGAGTGAAGTTCTTTCATACATGTCATTACAACAATAATGCAGAAAATAGACGTTGAACTAAAATCCACACTGTACAGCAGTGCTCCACAAAAATCATACATTTTTTCTTTTTTGTTTTTTTAAAAAACATTACAAACTCGCAGAGCCCCCCGTCATTGTTGAACTAAAAGAAAAAAACAATTGTGAAAACATCATTTCCAAATCTGTTGCACAAATAAAATAGGCTTGTGAAAGTATTTGTAACAGGCAAACAGGTGTGAGATAACTCGGGTCTGTGCACCATGAAAAAGACAGAACCGGCCAATTTCAGCAGCAAGGGCGGTTTTCCCACCAACGCAAGACTATCACTCTAAATAAAATTTGTCTCTTTCCCAATTAGGACAAGGAAACGGCTCCTCTGTGTGATCTGGGATGATGTAGGGAACAGAAAAACATTTAGGTTGGTTTCTGTGTTCTTACACTCATTGCATTATCTCAGTCCATCACACAAACATCTCTCTGGGAGTTTTTCCTGAGCAGGCTGCAGTGGGAGTGGCACACTCGGAGAAAACACATCTGTGTGAGTCTGAGTGCTGGCATGGATCTGTGTGTCTGGTGTGGCTGAAGGGCTGAGGACAGCGTCATAGTCGAAACCTCTAAGAGGCTGTAAAGACAAGGTGAAGCCACGTCGAGCTTTAGCAGCGCGGTCTGGTCTCTCTCTAAGCTCCAGAATCACCTTGAAAACAAAAATAAAAATATTTCATCTGGCTTCTTTAGTGTATCCCAGTATTACCACAGTGTCTGCATTAGAATATACATGAGTTACCGTCACGGGCTTGCGCTGCAGGAGAACGTGGTCAAATGATGTTCCATGGAAAAAGGCTTGCCGTTTAAATCGCTCCAGGTTCCTCAGGCGGCGGGCTGGAGTCTTGCACAAAAGCTACACAAACAGACAGAAATTGGCAAACCTGAACTCTTCAACACTTAGTAAGTAATCAGTAGTAAGAGAAGCAACCATTGTACCTCTGTTAATAACAAGGCAAATGGAGGGCTGGTGTTCAGGGGCATTTCATAGGGAAAGGCCCTCACTTTCCTCAACATGCTGCAGTGGTCTGGTTCTGCAGGCACAGGGAACTGGGGAGAGAGGGTGGAACATTTATTATGTTTTTAATCCTATACAGGAAGTAAATGTTACCGTTCAGTTTTAAAAAGGGAAGTCCATAAAGCAGACAGGAAAAGAAGAAAACCATGACATGTGGCAAGATGGAAAACTAATTATATAAATGCAAGATTGTAAAAAAGTAAAGTCTTCGTTAGCAGAACATGATGTTGATGTTTTGGACTATAATTCATTCTACTTATAATCTGTTTAACTTATTACTCATCATATTTTCATCCTGCTCTTTACTATGCCTAAAGCTATTCTTTATTTATCGAATCATTAAATACAGAATTTTATACTACTACTATTACTACTACTACTTGTCATGAACCAAATTTTACTATTAATATTATCATCATAATCTCAACCAATTATAAACTGACCAGATGTCCTAAGTTGTTGCACAGCCCGTGGTCTGGGGTAAGAGGTACATGAGGTAAAGAATGAAGACGACTTTTCTATATAGTATAGTCTATGGGAAGATATAGAGGCTACAGACAACAACAGCTCACCTTTCCAGTAACCAATGAGAAAAGGAGAATTCCCAGTGACCACCAATCGGCTGCATGGTTATAGGGTCCACCACTCAGCACCTCTGGAGCTGCAGAGCGGTCACAGTATGTTTGCATCACTGATCTGCTTAAATGTACCAGGTGCTAATCTGTAAATGTGTTTAATTGAATATGTTTCTGACAGGATTTAGCTCCAGAGGTGACTTTAGTAAACATACTGTTATCTCACCCATGTACTGGATTGTTCCACAGATAGTGAAGGCTCGTCCTCCTCTCTCCAGGCGACGGGACAAACCAAAGTCAGCTAAGCGGAGGTGGCCTGGAACAAACCATTATGTCCATGTAATTAACAGCATAGGCCAGGAGGCCCAGTTGTAACATTCCATTCAAATGCTGTTAAAATAATATAAAGGGCCAATTGCTAATGACTAATAAACATTTGGAGATAAGTAGATTAGCAAGATGTTTCCTCTTAAGAGCCATTCACAGTGATAGACTAAGTGCTGCTGCTCCCTGCTGGAAGCATGTTGACTCACCGTTGTCTGTTAGCAGAATATTTTCCATCTAGAAAAAAAAAAAACAAAAACACGTTTTGTTGCTTATATTTGTTGAGAGTAAACTATTATTTAAAAAAAATAACAGAACCAATTGCTTTCTATTTCTGACATTTCTATTTCTTTATTTTCTAGTAAAACTCTATTTGGCATTCTGCATGGTCTATAGAATAAAGAGCATTCAGTAAATAAATAGACAATGAAGAATTACTAGATTTATAACAAATACATGTAAGCCACACAAGCCAAGAATCAGGATGAACCCATAGTTTCAACCTATAATCTTCTTACCTTTACATCTCTGTGAATGACACCCAAGTTATGCAGAAAGTCTAGAAAAACAAACCATAGAATATAAATGTCATGTAAATAGGTTTAAAACACACTGTTTGTGTAAAACTCTGTTGTGAGAAATCATTTGAGAGGCCATCTCATTGTAGTTACACATCGTCTGACAATTACTTACAATTGAATGACTAAAAATAAATTGAAATGAACCCTCGAGACACTTCTGATCTACTCTGAGTTCTCCAGAGGATTCAGATAATTAACGGAGTGTAGATGGAGGATTATCTCCATATTTTCCAGTTGTCAATAAACAATAAGGAGTGACTGTGGATGCTGTGTACTTCAGTAGTGACAGATTAATTTTGTTACATATTGATATTCCAGTGTTTTTGTGACCGTGTGAGCAGGTTAATATTGTATTTTCATTTCTTTGAGGTGTACGCACCAAGTCCACAACCAAGTTCTGCTGCAAACACTCGCACCGTGTCCTCCGTGAACTGACCAATCATTTGCCAGTAAGTGTAGAGGTCTCCTGTGCTGCAGTAGTCACACACTAGAAGAGAACAAGAGCATTAGAACATGTCACTGCCGACAGAAGATGAAGGTGAACAGGGGGCAGCGGGATGTGGAAAGAAATTAATGGGGGGAACTAGGAGAAAAGGACAAGTGGACAATAAATACTTTCAATTACTGACAAAAACACCTTGATGTTTATAACAGGAGCAGAGATAGATTTCTTCTTTGAGTCTTTTGAATCTATTGTACAGCTGTAGCAATTTTCAACACGGGCAAACACACTTGCTTTTCACAGGGGGTGAGGAATTAAAACAAAGTGGGTCAGACTTTCCGAGTCAGTGACTCGCTCTGGTGATAAAGGAAAAAGACTCTGCAGGAACAAGAGAAGGTGCATATCTGCTGCGGGGCACACAAGCAGAGGGAGTTTGGAGTTGTGGGTACAAATACTCACTTTTTCTTCTCTTTAGAAAATAAAAACAAAATCCAAACAATAGCAGCAGGATATTACTGCACTTTGGGAAAATACGTTCCAGGTTTTGTGTTAGGGATGTAGACCGTATAAAAGAAACGGACATGTTTGGACACAGCTATTGAAGTCAAAGAAACAGAACCAAGTTGTTCCTTTTTGTATAATATGGAACAAAGATGCAATTTAGATTAACAGATAGTACTTTCATGAATGAAAAGCCCAATTTTCTGACAGACTTGACTTCATTCAGCATCCGTTGTATGGAAACAAATAGGCCCATGTTCTTCTATACGGTCTGTTTTTTTGGGATTGTGGGTAAAATCATATCGTCAAGTGCGGAAATAAAACAGGTTGGACGGGCTTTGTGGGAGTGGATTTGGGTTGATCTGGGTCACTGTTTTCTGTCCGACTCACTAATGTAGAGGTGACGCTGTGTCTGCCAGCAGTCTTGAAGATCGTGGATAAATGGGTGGTGAACCTGACGCTGTGAGCAAAGGTCAAATCCCACATAATGAGGCTGGTCACACAAGTGATGTGTCTTCTTTATGTAGATATGATAGTGTTGTACACAGTTTATGTATAGACAGATGCAGCTAACCACAGTCTTGAAGTTTACACATAATTAGGGCTGCAACAATAAGTAATATTGAAATTTATTTTAGTTTCCATAAATGTAAAAACTGCAACAAACCTGGACTATTACTTCTTCTTTGGACTGCTCCAGGACCCCGAGTCTCAGAATCTCAGATTTAGGAATAACCTGTTGTCAAAAACAACACTTTGTTAAAAACAACAAAATTATTGTATCCTTTCTACAACACAGGTGTTCTATTTTATACATTGTAAACAGATTTACTAATACTTTTTTGTACAGTATGTTACACTCACTTTGACTGCATACATTTTCTGGTTTGCTTTGTCCTTCACTTTCAGAATGGGTCCAAATGAACCTTTGGCAATGTAGCTCAAGACCTAGAAGAGTGTAAAACTCAAAGATCATCACAAGTCCATCATACCAAAGCTCTAATGCTGTCAGCATGTTGCACTGTGACTATGCTTTACCTGAAAGTCCTCTGGGCCAGGCAAAGTTCTGTGTGGAAATTCCGGCAGAAACATACTTATGAATCCTGGCAGCGTCCACTCTGCTCTGAGCTTGTTAGGGCCAACTCCGGCCAACCGAAGAACATGCTCTGGGATGTCGGGGGCCTTGCCCTGTAGCATCCGCTGCCGACGCAGACGCAGGGCAGGTGGAGCCAGGCGACAGAGACTGGCTGGGATGGAAAGACCTATACTGGACAGAAAGCTTCGCCATCCAGACGTGAAGTGCTCGTCTTCCTGCCCTTCCAGTGGCCTCTGGGGGCAGATAGTAGAGAAGCACGAGTCAGTGGAAATGCTGTATGTATAACTTTAGTATGATAGTTTTACTATTATAGAATAAATTAACTTTAAATATTAATTTCCTGCCAGGATGCTATGAGGTCTTAACCAACTGTCATAATACATCTTTATTTTTGCTAACAATATATTATTTATTGATGCATGTAAGGCAAACTATTGTATAACATTCACTTTCTCTTTGTTTAAACTTGGACCTTTAGCAAGAACGTAACCCATTGTGCACTTGATACAGAAATGATATAATGGAAAAAAAACTTAAAGGTGTAAATATTTTAACTTTTATCAAGAACAGTTGCTTAAGAATTGCTTCATATTCACATAGTAGAACGTGCTTTTAATCCTTTGGTGTCAGAGTAAATATGTCACTGTACCTGAGCAATTACACTGATTGTGCATTGGGTTCATATGGGGGTCATTTACACAAGTAACTATAGTCAAGCAAGGTACTGTATACATTTATAGACAGTGACCTCAGTGACGAAATCACACTGTTTCATAAATTCAATACTAGATGGATAAACAGCTGATATAAAAATAGATGATATAAATATTGAGTCACAGTCAATATGTCCTGTCGCCATGGGCTCTTTACTGCATCACAGAGTTGATGTTCTATGATGCAAGAAGTGTGCAATCAACCACACATCCATTTGCATAAGCGACACAGCACAAATATTTATATCATATAAATTTAAATGTTTGTTTCAATGTTTCAAAAAGTGAACACTAGAGTTTACATCAGCCAACATATATTTGTTATGAAGCAACTATGTATTTATTATTTTCTTGTTGTTATTTTCTTTCTATTGTTTTTAATGTTGATGCTTTATTTTAGGTTATTATTTTCTTATTGTGTTTTTAATGTTGATGCTTTATTTTAGTTCATTTTCAGGACACATTTACTCTCACGGAATAATCAAGGTCTAAATGTATGATATTATTATTATAATTAAACATGAGGAAACTGTAGGAAATCAGCTTTATCATTTTTATTAGCAAATGTACCAAGAAGAGTGAGAATTGGAGACATCTAGCGGCAACATGAGGCCGTAACGCTCTTTCTAGAAACCACATTTGAAGACCTACAGAATGGTCGTTCTTTGCGGACTAAATGTGTAAATTACAATAGAACAGCGGAAACGAAAAACAAAACATGTGAAAGTTACCTTCCTGTTTTTACTAGCCTCGGCTCCCATCACTTTGTCCGGACAACAACACTTTTTAACATCATGGCGACGTTCCCTCGACGTACATCCTCATGTTAGTGTGTACATCCTCGACACAGCTTCCTCACTCTCACACGCACATTCTAAACACTACCCTTCAACTTTAAAACAAAATTAAGATATACATCGACGTCCAGCAGTTGATAACGATATTTTTTATCAACGATACACATTATAAAAACAAGTTAATCCGTAGACGGGCGACGTCAGTGCAAATCCGCCCACATCTTCACAGTCCAATAGGGTTGCAAACAACCTGCTAGCGTTCAGCGCCCTCTGCTGTTTAATCCTCCCATAACACGTCTCCACAAACGAGAAATCTTTTTCTTTTTCTAATCTATTTCTTTTAGGATTAAAGCTACATCTTTTTAAAACGAAATATAAAATAGAGTCAAAGGTTCTGCATTAAACATGTTTAAAATTACATAAAACACAAAGCAACAAGGTGGATTTGCAAATTTAGAGGTTTGTGCACAAATCACAATGACTAGCAGATCTGGTGAGAATTAAGTTTGTTTAAATGGGATGCTTTTTTTGGGAAAATACCACAATACTCCATTATAGATTTTGGTTAACACTTATTTTATACCAATTCTTGAACAAAACCTCTTATCATGAGGAGCTTTAAGGATGGATGTAAATCTTCAGACAGTAACAAAGGACTAAAATGTTATTTATACTGTCTTCAATGACACCCTATTGATTGTCATCAATTTGGGGTCACATTTTGAAAAGAAAACTACTGTACACACGTACATAATGAAATGATCAAACAAAAAACCATGACATGACAGCGCAAGTGCCTTTTATTTGGGACGAAGAACATAAAAAGCAAACAGTGCCATCCTGAATTTTCACTTTCACATAATCCTTTGTGACCAGCTTTTGGTCATTTCTACAAAATAAACCAAACTGTCAAGCTTTAAATAAACAAATAGAAAAGGGGATGAGCGTTTGTGTAGGAGCGTTGAAGGTCAAAGCCGCATCAACTAGACTGCTTTAGCCTCAGTCATCCTCATCAAAGTTATTGTTGCCCTGAGGGGCTTTGGGTCCCCCTGCTGGTTTTGCCATGATGATCTGCAACAAGGAAAGACAGACAGACACGTTTACAATTGTGACTGAAATGAGTCAGGTCCTTAGAAATGCCAAGAAAGGTTTTTTTGGTGATGAAATATTCATTAGCACATATGTGAAAGAGGAAGTGTGCTGCTGTCATGCGAGGAACAGCATAGTCCAATAAAAAAAAAACCTGGGTTTGTTCTAAAAAAAAAACAACAACTGTAGAGGTTTGGAAAGTTTCTAATAATGTCAGACCTTATTCAATATCCCTAACAATATCTATTTTTGTATTGATCAGTAAATAAACACACCCTTGAAGGGAGTTCCCAACTTATTATTCCCATAGCTTTAGCCACCAGAGCACTACATTACAAATGATTAAAAACTTCATTCATGTTAAATAGTCACATGCAATCCACTCTTGTTCACTGCAAAGTAAAGTGAGTTCATGCTGCATGCTAACACACAATACTCTACTGGTTTTATGCAGGTTTAGTACATTGACAGTGAGTGACAGCAGTAATAGAAACACATCTGTGAAGTGGTCGAGTCCATCCAGCTGTGAGGAAAGAGCTTCTTAATATTTACACCCAGTGTTAACCGTGACAGACAGTCTATTTTTCCGGTGAGTTCTGTGAGCCAAAAATCGCACACACATTCCAGGACCTACTGACAAAGGGTGGGTTTGAACACCCTCTAATGGTGGGTTTCAAAATTGTCAGGCTCCTCATCCCAACTATCCTTGTCCCAATGTCCTCTCTGCTTGGGAGTTTTCGGTCCCCCTGCAGCCTTAGCCATGATGATCTGGATTATACATATACATACATGTACACAAACATTAACACCAAATACCTGCTACAAATGTTTCAAGAAAATCAGGAAGTTAGCGAGTAAAACTTTTGGATCCAGCCCCTAAAGGCCAATGGTGGCACTGCACCTGAACAATTGAGGACTGAATGAGCATAGTATGGATTCCAACCATTTTTAAAATTCTTATTTAGGGACATCACCAACAACATCACCAAATACATTTACGAGTCTATATAAAAATGCTAAAATGTTTAAAATACGGTGCACGCACCTGGTCGACTCTAAGTACTGTGATGGCAGCGTTCGTGGCAAGCTTGATGCCCCAGTACTTGACCAAATAAGGATCCATAATTCCAGCTTCAAACATGTCCTTGACAGCAGGACCATCTCCCTGTTGACAGTATTCAATTCAGATCAGATTAACAAGTGTCAACACAACAACTTATGGCTCAGACTTTAGGTCCAGTTTTTTTCCAATACAGACAATTGTGAAAAGACCCACATGCAGACTGATCAACTTTTGATGAACACACACCTCAATGTCATGGCCCATGTTTTTGTTTCCTTCATGATGTGCAGCGTAGAGCTTAGAGATGAGCTCTCTTCCCTTCACACCAGAGTTCTCTGCCAGTGCCCGGGGCAGTGCCTCGAAGGCTTCAGCAAACTTCTTGATGGCGTACTGCTCCAGACCAGGACAGGACTGTAGAGGAGAGAAATAAATTAAACTCTCTTACTAACCAGCAGGTGATACTATAAAGATACAAATGCATTAAAGCCAGAACCAGAAAAAAAAATCCCAGACAGGTTCAGTCCCTCAGTTACCTCTCCATATGAAGTGATCTGTTTGGCCAGCTCGATCTCAGTGGCTCCTGCTCCTGGTAGCAGTCGCTTGTCCTAAAGACAGTGAAACATGCAAAGCTTTATGTACTTTGAAAGGATGACACAAATTGTATTTCAACTAGTGACATTATCATTACAAACACTGTAAAATCCAAGTAGAGTTTTCTTGTGGACTTACCCTGACCAGAACCTTGAAGGTGTTGACACCATCATCTACTGCTCTCTCAATATCGTCCAGCAGGTTGTCAGTGGAGCCTCTGATTACCACCGTAGAGATGGCACAGTCTTCTTTTTCTGTAAGAAGAATCAACATCCATACAAATGTTTAACTCAAGTTAATATTAGGTAATCACACAAACAAAGAAAAGAAAATCAAGAACAAAACAATGTACCATGTTTGAAGATCACCACTTGCGTGTCTCCCACCTCGGTCAGGTAAACACTGCTGCAGTGACCCATCTCATCTGGAGTTGGGGCCATCTGATGAAGCAACAAATAAATGTCAGTAAACATAATATAAACAATTATCAGACTAAATGAAACTACACTCACAATCCTGGGCAGTGCGACAGCTCCCACTGTTTTACATAACCTCCTGAGGTCCCACTTGCTATTGAGCCTGAAAAAAAGAAGAGGATGATTTAGGACCTAACATCAGATATTAAACACAGAAGACTTCTAACAGAATGGTTGCAGTGAGATACAAATTATTCTCTGAGTATGAGTGGCTTAAAACCCTGAATTCCACTGAGATTGTGAAGCAGCTACTCATCATCATCTTTTTTGGTGTCAACACCAGCAATGCTGTTGGAAAATGATCTCTGGCCCATGTTTAAGAGAATACTGTTTTTCTAAAACAGTACACTAACAGTTCGCTTAAGCATCAAAGAATCTCCAAGACTCACCTGACTAGCATGAGGTTGTACTTGTTGGCATAGTGCAATGCCATGTCGGCCACTTTACCCCCAGTAACCACCATGTTGGCTCCAGCCTCCTTGATGGCCTTCACCTGAGCCTCCATCAAATCCTCCTCTCCTTTGCTGAAGTCCATGAGCTCTTTAGCGCTATTTATCAGCACAGTGCCCTGAGAGACAAAGTAACTCAGTTTTGGTAAAATTCAAATACAAACATTTAAACAACAACTTTGTGTGACTTTAAATTCTAAAATGTGAATATTAAAAGTGACGTCTGGCTAATCCTGGAAATTCTCTTTTTTTAGATTAATTTTTTATTGTTGGTACCTTGGTCTCTGTCACCATGCTGTCAAAGGGACAGGAAAAGACTGCGATCTTTGCATCTTTCACAGATGTGATGTCACCTTCTGCCTCCTTTTTAAAGACCATACCATGAAGTATGGAGGATGCCGTCACTCCACACCCCTGAAAAACAAAAACACAAAAGTCATTCTAAGAAAAGTCAACAAACTAATTTAGAAAACTTAACATTCTAAATGTATTAAGCTGCTCCCCAGGATCTTGCAAACTCTGACATTGTCGACATTGAAATGACCAGACTCTGGGAAGATGGACACTGAGATACAAACATATAAAGGGTTAACAAAAGTAAAGGCATTAAAAAAACCCAAAACAACAGATTGTTATATCTTGACGGTCAAGGTAAATTGTTTCGTTTTTAACTGGAAACTTGTGTGTATTACGTTACGTCTTAGGCAAAAGAAGACAAAAGCTGTATTTTCAAGTATGTACCACTATGTTAGTTTGTGTAAATGACAAATATCCAAACAGAGAACTTTAAACTGACATGGTCCTAAAATAACATATGACCCTAATAATACAGGTTCAAACTTCTATTCTGTTTCACTCACCACAGGCCTCAGCGATGAGGTTAGCGAGGAAGTCTTCATTTCCATACTGTTTGCTCATGACGGCAGTGCGGATGTAGGATGTGACCTCCTTAACATCATGGAGGTTCTTGGCTGAGGTACAGACACAGTCTGGTAGGATTTCCAGAGCCTTTTTACAGGCCTGCTCATAACCTTCAATAACCTGAAGGAAAAAAAGCATCAAATTATAGTAGAATGTACACAGCTGTAAATAACAAGCATTGAATGAAATATCAAATGTCAAGACACATTATTTCCCTAATAAACCTTTACATTAGCTAAGCTGTACCTGTGACACAGACAGGCCCATCCTGAGCAGCTCCTCAGCTAGCTCAAGCAGAGCTCCAGCAAACACCAGCACAAAGTTTGTACCATCTCCGACCTCCTGCTCTTGCATGTGAGAAGCCATCACAATCATTTTTGCTGCTGGATGTTGCACCTGTAAAATAGAAAACATTTTTACCGGCTTTAACTCTGACTTCACACATTCACACACAGTGTGTTACAGTAAGATCTAAAATATTAGTAATAATAATAAATAAAAATAGTCAGAGCTTTGTCTTACTTCAAGCTCTCGAAGGATTGTTGCGGCATCATTGGTGACAAAGAGCTTCTCCAGGTGGTTGATGACCATTTTGTTCATGCCTGTGTAGAAGCAATGTTACAGCTTAGCATCTCTTGCTTTAGGTTAGGTTTAAAGTAGTCAATGTACAAATATAATATTAATCTATACGATTAGGCAACAGAAAGCAGAGGCATGGTTGATGAAGAGGGATGCCAACTACTTACCATTAGGTCCATAAGCAGTGCGTGTGGTCTGGGAAAGTTCTTTACAAGCTTTGATGTTACGGAAGACAGCTTCTTCAAGGCCAGAAAAATGCTGCATCAAACATAATCAAACAAATTAATAGGCAAATTCTGAGATTTATTAATGCATAGCTACTTATTATCCTGAGGCTTATACTTAAGGTATTTTTTTAAAGACCTATAAAGTTTAGCTGTGGCAAATTGGCTCCTAATGATATGACAATGAAATGAAAAAAAAAGATGAGTAAAACAATTGGGCTCCTGACCTCACACATGAATGCACCGATAAAATAAACGACAGACTGTTTAACAGTTTTGATGTGTAAAAATATGACTAAATAACAATAATTTCACTAAAATGTCTGCAAATGTAAATTTGTTGACAGTTTGTAGATGTCATGTAGCTTGTACGATGAATTATGTTAAGACACTATTGACGGTGTTTGTTTGTTTATACTGTTGGTGTATTTATATATATTGGATTCGGATTTATTCGTTGATTTAATGCATTTGTAAATTGTTAATATATTTATTTTGGGTTTGAAACAGATAACAGATAATTCCTTTTAAGGACCGTAAACATGAATTCGCATCATCATCACCTGTGTGAGCAGATGTGTCACCCAAACCCTCACGCCCTAACATCAGACTAAATGCGGATTGATTTTGACAGCGACAGTTATTCCTGCTCCTCATGTACACCAAAGTTAAATACTACAAAGCATAAAGTACAAGATGCAAAAGTCAAATTATGGTTCACATAAATGTGAACAGCTAGCCAAACATCAGCTCTGAGCGGCCTGGCTGTTTCTAGAACTCTCGCACATGACTGTGAATGGGCATGCTAATGCTAAGTAGCTAGCATGATAACTCACATTTATTAACTAACACGACTGCTTCCAACTGTCGATGAAAACTCACCCTTGCGCCATCCTTTAACATCTGGGCAAAGCCCGGAGCTTTCGGAACGTGAAGGGCCATTATCAGTTGTTTATCAGTCCCGGAATCCTGGAGAAGCTAGCCGCGGCGTGGGTTCAGCTCTGAGTACAAAGCCGGAGAGAGCGAGGAGGAGTTACTTCAGCCCTAGCTGGGAGTGGAGTAGGGGACGGAGAGCAGTAGGGGACAAAACTGTGAGCAGCCAGCATTTCTAGCAGTGATGCAATTTGTACGCTAGATGGCGACGTTGTCTTTGTGTACTAAAAACTAAACACTACGCTTTATTTAAATCGAAAAAAAAGTATTCGAATACTTTTAAAATATTAAATATTTAAAAATAATTTCATTATAAAATAAAGCTTACGATCTAAGAGTTTGTACTATTTCACAGTTTAATATAAAACAAAAGTTTAGACGACTAAAGCAAAAGTCAAAAAATGGCTCCTTTGGTCCTTTTATTCTCTGGGTTAAATGTGTCAGTAGCAAAATGTAGCCATTAATAATTTGTTGAACTGACAAGTAAACAAAACACAACTGCTTATTTAAAAAAACACAAACAACGTAACCATAGAAACCAATCACAAATGTCCACAGGCTTAAGGATGTGTATGGGACTGTATTAAAGATGGATGGTCTCTGAGAATCAATTTATAAACAATGACTAAAAGCTCTTTTTGTCCATGTTTTGCATTCAAATGCTTTATATTTTTTGTGACATTTTGTTTATTTGCTAAAGGATTATTCTATTGCTGCAGAATGTCAATTCTACAATTTGAAAAATTACTAGTTAATGTTCTGTACCGTTCATTCTCTGAATGATCAACTCTACATTTTTGAAAACCCTTTCAAAATGTAAGACTCTTTCTTGTGTAATGCATTGTGTTGTTGTTTTCATGACAGTATTCTGGACAATACCAATGTGTTTTTGCTGTTTGTTGCTGTAAACAAAACAATGTTAAGACAGTTAAGTCAGCGTATCTTAAGTGTTTTATTGCATCTTTTCACATTTAAACACAGCTTCATTTTTGAGAAACTGTGTTTCATTTTAGGCTGCTTGCTGGAGATTCATTACACTTGAAACTTATTGAATATGGCTTTAAAACACCTTTGATGTCCCTCTTTTACAGTAATGAGTCACCAGCTCTTCCCAATCACATTTTAAGAGAATTTATGCAAACACAATAGTTGCATAAAACATTGTAAAACACACAAATCCCATTAAAAACGCATACAAAGCTTTATAAATTTTCAAATTTGATACAAAACACATTTTCTACTCGGCACAATCAAATGACAAAAAAAGAGTAACGCGTTAGTAACAATTATTGCATATATACTATATGTAGAAGAAGGAAAGAATTATCCTTCCTTTGTCAGAAAACGATGCGTTAGTTCTGCAGATACCATTTGGTCTTTCTTTTAAAGTATTTTGTTTTTATGCAGATTGAACTAAAAATGTGTTAGTTTTAAAATGTAACAGATTGGTTACACATTTGGTTGTAGCAGCTATAATGTGTACACAAAGAAAACCCTTTGGTAGTTACAAAGAGGATACTGTATATTACCCACTGTAAGCTAACCCTAGATGTGTAAACACGAGACCTACTCTAGGCGCTATGCGTCGCCTTCTAAACATAACACGAAAATGAAGGCACAGATAGACATGGGACATTTCTAGAGTATCAACACGACAATAATGTGTGTAACAGTCTAACAAGGATAAATGAGACACATGGCTAAAAACGCCCTGCGTTTTACATACACAGATACACAACACATTTACGTTGGTTAGTTGGGTTTGCGTACAGTGTTCACAGCGGTGTGGGCCCAACCTTCGACCGTGTTTGAAAGGTTTGTAGCTCGACGTGTGAGGTTGGAGCGACACAGTTTACCGCTGGGATCCAGCTTTCTCATCAGCGCTCCGCCACATTGTGCCAACGAGCTGGTTCTGTAGAGAAAAAGAAAACAATGACATAATATGTAGACACACAATGAAATATGTGAACTCCCTGTTAAACTGGGAGTCATGCAATGACAACAGAAACAATAATAATGCATCCCTAGACTTTTTAAATATTGCATAACGTGTGATTATCTGTTGGCACATTTCTTATATTTAAACACAGAAAAAAAAGGAACAACCTTAAACTAAAATTGTAATACTGAACTTGTACTTAAAAAACATGTTTACAATTTATATAAATATTTCAAACAGTTATTAAATACTTGGAAACACACTGGTAAAATAACCACCTAAAGAACATTTAATTGGTATGTGTCCAAAGAAACAACAGCATGACAAGGAAACATGTAAATCCAAAAATATCCAAAGAGGAAGGAAGTGTGAGTCTGGTTAGGAGGA